ATAATCTTTTGATTATTTTCTACTTAATAATCTTTTATACTTTCTATATACTTTTGAAGATGGTGTTCAGTTCAATATGTTAAATGCTTCCAAATCCTGAATGGAGATTAATTGTTTATCTGTTAACGTGTTTTCCTGAAAATAAGACCTAAGCTGAAAATAAACCCTAGCCTGATTTTTAAGCATGCTCCTAATATAAGCCCTACCCACAAAACAAGCCCCATCAGCTGTGGTGGGTGCGTGGGCCACCAACCCCAGAGGTGGCGAGGGTGCGGGGGCCAATATTTCAATAGCCGCAGCCTATGCAGCTCAGATGAGTTGTCCAAGCAGCAGGCAGACACAGGACGGGGGGAGGCATGTGATCAGAATCTGTTGCATGGGCTGTGGGAAAGCCGAGAATCGGGCTGGAGTAGGCAGACAGTTGCGGGAGAGCCTTTCCATGGTGGTACTGGCAGCAGGCGGAGGTAGAGGCACGAGGAGGAAGGAAGGCGACTCTGATGCGCCATGTGGGCCGCAGGGAAGCCAAGCAACAGTGGGACAGAGTGGGTGTCTGGCTGCAGAAGGCTTGTCTTTGCATGGTGGCACTGGCAGCAGACAGAGGCAAAGGTGCAGGGGGGAAGGAAGGCAGGCGATTGCGAGAGACATGAAGATGAGCTGACCAAATCCACATTCTGGATCTAAACATAGCCTGCCCCGAACTGTTTCAAGCACAGAATATTCTGCATCTGAATATTGCTGTAGTCTCTAAGTAATATACTTGTCTTGTGAACTGGATTTTAACATATGTATGTTTCCCATGACTTTAGAGTTGTTTACAGCGCTCTTTCAGAGCTGAAGTCTTCACCTGTCCTGCTTGCCGACATGACCTTGGGAAGGGCTACACCATGGTTCCCAACAAGATACTGCAGACACTACTTGACCAGTTCTTCCCTGGTTATAGCAAAGGACGATGATATGTATTTGTAACCTTATTCTCCAAATGACTGAATAAACTAAAAGAACAAACCATCTAGGAAAACAGTGGACCAGCCATCTTGAGGGAATTCATATTTACTATCACATTGTGAAGCCGCTAATTCAACCCTTTTTCCCAGTTAGCAATCTATTGTGTAGTAAGAACTTCAAATTCCCAGCTTCCTTTTCACAAAGGTAGTTTTGAACAGATGACCATTAGTTTGTATGCAGGAATAAAGGCTTTTCTTGGCTCTGGCCACCATAGTAGCAGGTCTTCAGTTGTTTTTATAACTACCTCAGATGGAGAAAACAAATTTGGGGGAAGTTTAACAACACATCCAATGAAGTTTAGCTACACACTGCCTCCTGAGCATTAGTTTTGCCTGGTCCATGCAATTTGATTTTGCAACAAGAAAACAGCACGTAAGAAGCCAGTTTTGTTACAGAACATCAAATGCTGTGGTGTGCAAATTCTTTATTGTGTTACCCCTCCTGCTGTGTTTCTTACTCCTTTTGCAACAACAAGCTTTTAGTCTATTTTTGTGAACGTTATTGTGCTCTCGTATCTTCTGCAAGTTGACTACTAAGGACTAAGAATGATATGAATGCATTGTTGCTGTTGATGTAAAGTGATTTGTGTTTTTTGCACTTAAAGAGGGTATTCAAGACGCTCTTAATTGTGTAAAAACTATTTCATATAAAACAAGCCACTTTTGTATTAGGTAAAATTGTTTGCTTTTAGTAGGTCTTGTATTAGTGGCAATACATCTTATACAGCATTGAAAGCAGTGCTAGCTTGGAGAGGGCTCAAATTGCTTCATATTGTGATCTGAAATTTTATATACAGTATATTCCCCACCCCTGAATATACTTATTAAATATTTTATGATTCATAAAGTGTTGATTGTTTGCATTTTACACCCATAACATGATAGCAAGTGATTTCCTAAAATAGTGTTTATATATATTACATAAAATTCCATTTGAAATTTTTATAAATGGGATTAGTAAACCTGAAGTTTACATTAGTCCTTTGGGCATTTGCCTTGCAGAGTTATATATTTTAAAATACATTTTTATAAGGCTTTCATTCTGAGGAGATTACATTTTCATATCAACTTTTGATTATAGATAGCAAATGACTAGTGACATCAGAACAGATATGTTTGAGTACTTACATACTATTTTAACATATACATAGTTGTTTGTGCATTGTTTGAGTGGGGAAGCTGGTATTATTCTTGTATTACAAATTGAAACTGAAGCTTTTTTATTTCAAGTCTGTTTTAGGTATGGTACTGAATATTGGATTACCATTATTTAACTGGTTTCAGTTTACATTCCAGTCTTTTTCCATTAGCAGAAAGAAATGAGAATTAAAATAGGATATTTTAAAAGATAGTTTAAAAGATGTAACACTGTCAGAATGTTTTGCTTAACAGGTTGAAGCCATAGAGACCTACTTTACATATAACACACTAAGTAAAACAGAAATCATTATGGATAAACTGGGCCAGTATCAAAACTCAGGTTGATTTATATTATACTTAAGTCAATCAGCCAGGATAACAAAACTATAATTAAATATGACTTATTTACATTATTCACAGATTAAATGAACCAGAATTTTTCAGCTGTGATAGTAATAGGTATCTAGTTAGATAAAAATTGAAAGCAGAACTTTCCTGTTTCTCCCTCGGATACACAAATATTGATTTTGCTACGTCAGCCAATGGCCTTTTTAGTCATAAGAATTTATAAATTTGCAGCTAAAGCAGGATAAGAAAGCAAAGTTTCATAAATAGTTTTAGCTTCTCTGGCAGCAATAGCAGTCTCCTGAGTGAGCTGTGAGATTGAAAACTTCTTTTGGGCTTTCAGTCATGGCTAGTGAGCATATCTTCAGCCTAGATAAAGGTTGATCTTTTCATGCCCTGGAAACCCAGCCTGCCTATACTGGATTCTGAGCCCCATTTGTCATGCCAATTGGACCTCCATGATGAGGAATGAAATTGGGAGAGTCAATTCTCCAGCTTTTATCTAGAAAACCAGTTTCAAACTAATAAAAAATCCTTGTTTATTTTGTAATAACAGTTAATATTAACCACTAACTGATTGAAACCCAAGTCACATTATGGGCATGAGCTTATGCCCTCTACTCATAAATATTAAAACTGTAAATTAGCATTGTGTTTAAACCAGAGTACAGTTAATTTTAATAGAGACACAATGGCCCAAGTATACTGCTGCCTCCTATCACCAAATTAAAAATGTCAAATTTTCTGGAATTTTGATTACTTCGAGTTGGCTGGAAATTTGTGAAAATTTGGGTGAATTACATGTTGGGATTTTCATGCAAGATGTCAGAATTTTAAAAATGCTGAAAAAAAATAATTTTGGGAGGAGGGCAATTGCCCTTTTCTGCTCCCTGTCATAAGTCATGGCCTAGGAGGCACAACAACCAGTTTTGTGTACCACACTAAGCATAAACAAAGCACAACTTCTTTTTGGCTTGTGCAAGACCTTACCATGTCTACTTCAAAATGTACAAAATGTACTTTGGTCTAGTGGTCAAGGCACCAGGCTAGAAACCAGAAAATTGAGTTTTAGTCCCATCTTAGGCATGAAAGCTGGTTGGGTGACTTTGGGCCAGTCTCTCTCAGCCCAACTGATTTCACAGGGCTGTTGCGGCAAAAATAAAGAGGAGAAAGGAATATTAGGTATGTTTGCCACCTTGAGTTTTTTGTTAAAAATAATAAAGGTGGAATATTTTTTTAGTCTACCAGTATATGTTTTCTAAGTTAGCTATCTTGTACTAAAGTTAGCCAAAAGAATAGCCAAATAATGCTAATGAACTGCTAATAAAATGTTGATCATTTTTCTGATACATTAGAACAGTTTGCTGTTACAGAGTAACAGTTTATCCCAAGTTCATTTTCTGAAAAATTACAACCTCCTGGTCTACTGGAGCATTAAAGGAGACTTTTCCCCCATAAATAATTGGTTGCTAGCATTATCATATATAGGAGGCACTTTATCATTCATTTCCTATCCCTGCAAGCTTCTCTGAAACCAGAAGTGGGAAGCGCCACACTAAATGGGGTGTTTTGTGGTTCTTTTTAACAGCTCTTGAGGCAATTTTCATAGTAGTCAGCTTGCCATCAATGTCTTCAAATTGGAATTCTCTTTTGACAGTTGTGGGCATCTCTTTGTTCAATGTGAGATAGCTTTTTAAAGTTATGTGCTTTTGATGTGTGCTGTAAAGGAGGTACTCTCATTCTTTAATTTCAAATAATAAATTCAGATTGTTGCACTTGCATTTAATTGCTGTAGCATATTATAATTGATTGAATTCGCAACTACTGTGATAGCACTGTCCCAGATCAGACCACATTACACCAAGATTTATAGGAACTCATATTGTGAGAAGTGTGTCTGACCCGCATGGATGTGTGTGTGTGTGTGTGTGTTTGTATTTGTGGCTTTCATTGGTTAGGCCTTAAGCCAGTCTACAAAACTGTGACAAAGAAACTGGGAATTAGTCTTGCACTGAATGAGTTAAGTCAGTTTTACAGGTAATGGCTGACTGATTAAGAAATATTCGTCAATAATTAACCTAAAAGAGAACAGGGCTTTCTCATTTGCCAAACAATGTGCCCTTTAAATATCTGTATCAGAACAAAATGTATTAGAAAGCTTAATGCTAGCAATCCTGCAGGCAACCTTTTGTTCTCACAAGTGTAATCATTTCAGCCCTAGCAAAGTCTCTCAAAATGTCTCACTTAAGATAGGGTGTGTGAGATCGTAAATACTGCTGAGCCAAGTGTCCTGTGTCTGTTTGGCTAGAGTTATAGTTCATATTCTGAAGAAAATGACCTGTTTTTTTGCCAAACGGATTGAAAACAAACTTCAAAAACTGGGAAGCCAGCTAGTTTTTAATTGGAACATTAACAAGAGAAAATTTAAAAAATACCAGTTCTAGAACATATAATTATAAACAATAAAGATACGTTGCCATAATCTAGAGTGTGGTACATACTTTTTTAAAAAATAGCCACCTGCATTCAACCATATCAAACTGTGTTAATGGTTGTCCATGACTTCATTTCATACAAAATGAACAGTAATTCCATTTTACCTTAGCCCAAATACAAAGGAAATACATTATAAAACTGTCCTAAAAAATTTGGGTTAATTCTATATCACAGAGCATTTGGACAAGCAGGTGCATAGTCATGACACTGTTTAAACAGTGTACTATATTGCTTTTTTCATACAGTTCAATGCTTATTATTAAATCACAGAAAAGCAGCCCTGATAGAAAAGAGGGCCTTAATTAAGGCCACTTCAGCATGGATTGACATGGAAACTGAGGCACTGTATCAGATCAATTGCTGCTTAATAAAAGTATTTTACAAATAGCTGCACAGAAATGTAATTAACAGCATGGAGTTTTCAAAAATATACACTGTATATAAAATATGCTAACTGGGCTGAAGATTTCACCTGTCTTCACAGAGTGCTACAAATACAGTGAGAAAAATTAAGCCCAGTGATCTGAAAGGTAATTCAAAGGCTGGAAGGAAGCTGGTCCTAAGATGATGCTCTCTTCTGCTCTGCAAAAGGAGACTCATAGACCTCCATTGGTGGGCAGGTACAGATCAGATGCTGGTCCCCATAGATGTCATCAATTCTGGCAATTGTAGGCCAAAACTTACTTTCAGGTTTCACAAACGGCTAAAGAAGAGGAAAGGAGTATTTAGAAAAGCTATATGGTACAACATCTAAACAACAAAAATTAGTAATTACAGTATGATTGTGTACATTAAAAAAAGATAGGCAGTAAAATGCATCAAGGAAAGCTTTCAAGGCAAGGTTTTGATTGTAAGCCCTACATGATTTGGAAAAATGCTATCTGGATTCTTTTTCTTTTGAATTTTTTGGAAGTCTTTCCATGGCTAGGCCAGGAGTTTGAGAGATTTGAAGTTGTTCTACTCATTATTTTAAAGACAGGTTAGGTTACCCTGCGTTCTGCGCTTTACCCCAGCACTCAAAATATTCTGCCAATGAAACTCAGCAGCATATTTTTTTTTGTTGGTTGTCCAAAATAAGGATGGAAATATAAATGGGAAGCCTCTGCAGGTAAACTTCCATTTTGAACCTTCATACGCCACCATAAATGATCCCAGGTTGCACTAGTGAAACGACTGTTTTGCTGTTGAATTTCAGAATTACCATTTTGGGCTTTTTCAGAAGTACCGGAAGATGGAAGTAATTGGGCTGATGAGCCACTTGCAGGTTTCCCACGTAACACCTTCCAATTCCCCATCCCAATAAGTCTCTACATCTAGCCTTTCCACTTATAACTATGGCCCTCCTCTTGGTCAGGACAACCACTGTAGTTTAAACCAAATGTTCCTTGTTTTGTCCCAAAGGTGCTTTTCGAAAGGCAACTGGACTTTCTTTGTTTTTTCCTTGAAGATGTTTTACTTCACGTCCAAGAAGCTTCTTCAGTTCTGAACTTCAACTGAGAATTGAAGAAGCTTTTTGGATGAGAAGCGAAATATTTTCAAGGAAAAAACAAAGACCAGTTTTTGAAAAGCACTTTTGGGACAACCATGACTTGGATGACAGAATCTCCATAGATGTTCCTTATTTTGCTTTGGACATCATTTTCTTGTTGGTACAAAGGTTTTGTCAGATTCTTTAGGAGCTGAAAGGTGAATAAATGAAAACCAGATCAAAACAAAACAGCGTTTACTTCTTTATTTCACTTCTTGTGATGGAAACAGTCCTTTTCATCAATACCTCTTGACTGCAACATACTGCTTTTAAACTTACCAGTTATTGCTAAGAGGTCTAGGTTTTTGTTTGTTTGTTTGTTTTGAGAAAAAAAACTTGAGACTGCTGAAAATTTGCAGAATTACTTGTTTTGTTTCTCTTTAATACTGGAAATATTTGCTCAAAAATACTTGAGCAAATATTTCCAGTATGTATAGAAGCATCACCTCAAAAAGGCAGTTTGAGCCACAGTAGATAGGACTCAAACATAGAAAATAAGCTATGTTATACTTTTTTGTTAAATTTGTACTATGCTCTGCTGGGTTTTTTTCTGGTCTAGAAACTTCCCCCATATACAGACCATCTGCCATATTCAATGCAAGAAAGGTATCTGCATTTTTTTCATGCTGGTACGTTCTTTTGCAGGGCTTATTTGTAGAGCTGTCAAACTCCCAGCCTTTGGGCCGGATACGTCATGGGCTGGCCACTTGCTTTAGTGAAGGGGAAAAAAGTTCCAGTACATAATATGACACCGCCATGATGATATGAGTTTGACACCCGTTCTAATTTTAAACTTGATCATGATGGACGTCTTTCAATACAGAAAAAAATCATATACTTTTCCTCTATAGCAGCCCCAAAGAAAACTCTTTGAATGCAGTAAGGTGAGCATGGGCGGTCTGGTTTTCAAATACCCACTAGAGGTTTTTTGGCACATCTGGATGGAACATATTGTTGGTTTTTAAAATCTGACCAGAACAAATCTAATAAAATAATTGCTCAAAATATATTTGTGAAATTATAACTCATTACTTACTAGTGGAAAAGCAGCCACTTCCCTAGAATATGGGCGATCCCAGTTGGGTGCAGCCAGGCAGGTCAAAGTGTGTGGGGCCATCTAAGTCAAAAGAAATGTAGTTTAGAATGCACAAAAGGAAAAGAGCCCTCACCCATGTTTTGGGTCAAACTATTTCAGTTTTGAACAAGGAGCACCTGGTAGAAGTCTCACATAAATAAAACCCTCCTGAGCTTACCTTTAAGGGGTTAACTCTAGCATCCATCCTTCCTTCTTCTATATCAGCTACTTCTTGTCGAATACTAATCATGGCATCACAAAATCTGTCTAGTTCTGCTTTATCTTCAGACTCTGTTGGTTCTATCATGAGGGTCCCAGCTACTGGCCAGGACATTGTTGGAGCATGGAATCCTAGGAAACATGAATTCTAATTGTTCACTTGATGTTTAAAATAATGAACCTCAACAGTCAGAAAACATCCTAACCATCTATCCCCCGCTAGATCAATCTCTGAGCTAATCTGCTTTATAAAGACAATATGAAATAAATACATGCATTTATGGATTTTGCTTAAAGCCATTTGTATGTTCTCTACTTTCCTCTTGATACAGAGAAAAACAGCAGCAGCCATGAGCAGCTTTCTCCTTCTGTAGTCACCCTGCAGCAGCATTAAAATATCACATCTCTGCTGTTCGTGAAATGTGTAGCATTCAAAACGAAGAAGTGGTTAAGAAAAGGAAAAAAAAATCTCACCATAATCCTGAAGCCGCTTAGCAACATCCACAGCTTCAATATTTGCAGTTTTCTTAAAAGGCCGAGTATCCAAAATAAATTCATGAGCTACATAACCTGTTTTAGAGTAAAGATTCAGACACATGAATCTTTTTTGAGAATAATAAAATACGAGTATAAGGCAAGATGGTAGTTCCCCATTTCAGTGGGCTCTAGAGAGGCCTTGCTGAGCAGAGAAGCATCTGCTGGAGATTTTAATGAGTCTTCCTGTTTTGAGTGGGTAAAGGTGGCTTATTCTGGCTTTCACTAAAAGCTGTTCAAACTAAGCTTCCTTCACTCAGTTTGTTTCTTTCATTTTTGCTAAATGTCAACATGCTGGTACAATAGTTAACTCTGCTAGGCAGAAAATATTCCCAGTGATTAGATAAGATAAATTTATTGTTATTGTACTCAGAAACCTGAGAACAACGAAATGAGGTGCTCTTTCACAACATACAACTGAACAACACCAAAAGACATATACAAATAACAATGTAAAAGCAAATAAAAAACAAATAACAGTTAAAAACTGTACAACCAGAATATATATATGTTAAGACCACCAGATTCATAACTCTGCATTTAACCTGATCACAGCACTTGGGTAAAAACTATATTTAAATCTACTTGTCCTGGCTTTCAGCACTCTATATCGTCTTCCTGATGGTAGGATCTCAAACAACGAGTGGCCTGGATGCGAAGGGTCTCTCAAGATCTTTTGTATCTTCCTTCTACATCCCATGTTATACAACTCCTCCAATGAGGGAAGAGGACATCCGCTGATCTTTTGTGCCCTTTTTATCACTCTTTGGAGTGCCCTTTTCTCTGTACAACTCCTAAACCACACAAAGAGGCAATAAGATAAAATGCTCTCTATAGAGCTTCGATAAAAGGCAACCAACAGACTCTCTGGCAGTTGTTGCGATCTTAAAAGTCTTAAAAAATACAGTCATTGATGAGCCTTTTTTTCTAGGGCTAAAGTATTTGCCCCCCATGTTAGATCTTGTTTCAGGGTAATACCTAAAAACTTACATTCTGCCACCTGTTCTACCAAAACACCATCGATATACAACGGCTGGATATCCGAACTGCTCTTCCTGTAATCCACTGTGAATTCCATAGATTATAGTTTATATTCCATAGATTATACTTGCCTTTGGAGCCTCTAAAGAGGATTTTGTAGTGGTTCTCTAGTCGCTTTGCCATGTAGTTAGCATTCAAAATTGCAATCTCAGAAGCATGTTTTAGGCCTTTGCCTCCCATCATCTAAAGAAGCAAAAACATGAATGAAAATGGAGGGGACGACCATGACACAAAACCATATTCCTGATGTAGATGATTAAACATTCCATGTTGTAAAATTATTACTGTAGTAGATGATTAATTCATTCTATTTGTTCAGTATTTAGTTTATAAGCTTAGATTCCATCAGTGTGTGAATGGTTTTGATGGCTTACACAACTCATCGATAAATCAGTCAGAACCCTTCAGGCGTGTATAGCATATAAATTAGTACTTCCTTGGAGATCTCATCCAAGAAATTATTTTTTTAAGTAGAAATTTTTTAAAATGATCAAATAACTTGATTTGAAAGGTATAAATCATCTTGTTAAATTTGATTTGACCCTGTTATTGATATTATTATTTATCATCATTTCTATATATTTTGAAAGAACAGGGAAGTTTCTTGTAGCAATATCTTACGGCTGCATCTGGTAGAATACCGTTTACTCTTTCAGCACTTGCTATTAAATCCCTTTAACTGGGGTTGTCTCAGATGGGACTTAAAAGCATCTGCCATTGTAGTATGATGGTTAAAGAGTTGGTCTTGGAATAGGAGAACAAGTCAACTCTATCTTGGAAACTCAGTGGATGACTTTGGGCCAGTCACTCAATCTCAGCTCAACATGTCACACGTTTATTGTTACTGGGAAAAATAGGAGGATACGTTTGTTGCTGTGAACTTCTACAAAAGATGTGGGCAACAGATCATTGTAGCACTTCCAATGTGTTTTTTTTTTTAAATGCTCACTTTGTGGGAGACTGCAGTGGGAAGGAGGGATTGCAAGCCCCTTTGTGCAACTAGATTAGGCAATTCCTTCTAAATACAACCTATACAATCTCTTCTCCTACAATCCTGCAGGTCTTTAACTTTCTGCAGATCTCTCTTATCATCAGCATGAGAATCTACTAGTACGGAAGAAGAAACCAGGAGCAGAAATTATGAAGTACCTTGATATAAACCCAAGAAATAGGCAAGATGGCACTGGATCCCCAAGGGGCAGCACTGATGGTGCCTAATGGGCTTGAATGTGCATCGTGCAGTGAGGCAATGACAGGGTGGCTAGGCAGGAAAGGAGCCAGGTGCATCTTCCTAAAAGGACAGCGAGAAAAGAACTTGAACATCCAGCTTCCCTCCAACTGTAGCACCAACAGCTATAGCACCATGTTTTAATTAGCCAGAATCAAAAGTCTGCTTAAGTACATTTCACCCTGACCCTCTAAAACAAGTCAGGAAGAAGAAAAAAAATCCTCTTGGACAGCATCTAGCTTTCTGCATTTCTATCTATAGCAGTGTTTCTCGACCCATCCGAAGATGGATAGACTTCAACTCCTTCCTGGCTGAGGATTTCTGGGAGTTGAAGTCTATCCAACTTGCCAAGGTTGATCTATATACAAGAATAATTAGCCAATTTTAATGGCCAATATGATTGGTTCCCAGAAAGCAAGAGAGCCTCCCTTATCAGATAAAGGGAGGAGTGCATTTACAAGCAGAGGGGCATATATTTTACTCAGCGGATACCTTTTCTGGAAATACTTACTTTAATGCAAACATTTTTGAGGAACATAGGTAGATGCAATGACTTCTGGCTCATCTACCTCAATTTAAATTTTTCCAATAATGCTGTTTTGGTTACACAGTAATCCTAGCTATGTATCTTATTCCCTAGTGGGCGTCCTTAAAATTTCTGCTTTAAAGTCTTCATGAAAAAATAAAAATAAAAATACATGCTCTTATCACAAGAAGTAGATACTAACACTCCAATCGGTCCCATGCCAGGTCCTCCTCCACCATGAGGAATGCAAAAGGTTTTGTGAAGATTTAAATGAGAAACATCTGACCCATAGTCTCCAGGGCGACACAGACCAACCTGTCGGGGGAAAGGAAAACAAGATGTTCCCAGTCAAAAATCTAGATGTTTTCAAAGATATAGAACATTGGAGGTGGGGGGGGGGCGGGAATGGTGGCGACAGACTACATAGCCTGGCTTGCAGAGACGACTGCCAGCAGCGAGCCAAAAAAGTCAAGAGAGCAACCATGGTGGTGCAGTTCAAACTCCCTCTGTTTTGAAAATGAACTTTGATTGCACCAACAGAAGAGAATATGTTTAGCTGAAGGTTGAACTGTGTGGGTCCTTGGTGTTCACTGAGTTGGGTTGTTTTCTTGAAGACACTTCATCATTACCCAACTAGCTAGCATCATCAGGGCTAGAAGAGAGCGGTGCTCTAGCACTGACAATGTTACCTAGGTCAGGGGTCTCCAACCTTGGCAACTTTAAGACTTTGCTGGCTGAGGAATTCTGGGAGTTGAAGTCCACAAGTCTTAAAGTTGCCAAGGTTGGAGACCCCTGACTTAGATAGTAATGAACTATCTGCAAGATACCAAAATTTGCAACACTGCCATATGGATTTGTTTTTTCTTTTTGACAAACATAAAAATGGGCGCAACCTCGCTTGTACCATAGTGGTTTCCATTTTGACTTTTTTTGACCATTAGTCCTGCTGGCTTGTCAAATGGTGTGAGCCTACTCTTTCTCTGGCTATCTCACAAACAACTTCTCTTTTTTTTCTTTTTTTACTTTAGGAAGGAATTTGACTTTGTGGGCTGCTCTGATGTTGGTTTCTAATAGCTACATTCTCCAAATCTGGTAGCCAACTGACATACATTGTGAAATACTTTCACGTGTTTCTATCACATGTTACTTTGTTATTTTGTTTTTCAGTGGAACCGAATGATTTAAACACGGGGAGCTGACTATTTGCTTTCTCCACATCACAATGTCTCATTATGTCTTATCCTTTTTTAAAACTATAAAGATCCAAATATTACACTTTTCCCATATGGACGCCGTTCTATAAAATTTTTCATGCCAAAATTATGAAAAACTAGCATGAGAGTGATCCAAGATTTCAGTCAGGAACAGATATTCAGGGCTACAATGTTACTGAATATGAGAAATCAGTCATACTCGTGAATCTCGATGTTCCCACTACCAAAATCCCATGCAACAGAATCCCATTATGCCTCAACCATTTCCCAGTATTTTAAAAAAATCACTATTGAGTATATGAACTAAAAGGATTTGCCTGTATCTATTTCTCACCTGAGCATTCATATTTGCTCCATCTAAATAAACTTGGCCTCCGTGTTTGTGAATCAGATCACATACATCACTGATCTGCTCTTCAAAGACACCATTAGTGGATGGATATGTGATCATGATAGCTGCTAGGTTTTCTTTGTGCTTATCTACCTATAAGAAGAAAGGGAAAAAATGACAACAGCGTGACATAACGGAGTGATAAGAACAAGATTCTTTCCTCATCAGTTTGGCATAAAAGGCCTACTAAATTAGATTTCCTTAATTTCATTTGGTCTTTGCAAATTCATCATGCAGCGGCTTCCAGCAAAGATTTCCTCCTTTTCCTTTAACTCAACATTTCTCAACCTTGGCAACTTTAAGATGAATGAACTGCAACTCCCAGAATTCCCCAGGCAGCATCCCTGGCTGGGGAATTCTGGCAATTGAAGTCCATCCATCTTAAAGTTGTCTAGGTTGAGAAATACCACAGAAGATGATCAAACGTCTACCCACATGCTAAGTACTCTATCTGGTACCTGAAATTTTTCATAATTATTTATTCTTTTATGCAAGAGCCACCGTGGTGCAGTGGATAAAATGCAGTACTGCAGGATAGTTCTCCTGACTGCCGACGGCCAGCAATTTGGCAGTTGGAATCTCACCGATTCATGGTTGACTCAGCCTTCCCATCCTTCTGACATTGATAAAATGAGGACCCAGACTGTTGGGAGCAATAGGCTAACTCTGTAAACCGCTCAGAGAGGGCTGTAAAGCACTCTGAAGTGGTATATAAGTCCAAATGCTATTGCTATTTTCACTTATATTCAGTTTAGTGTTAATAAAAAGAGGGGAATAGTAAATAGCCACAAAAGTAGACACAACCGTAGCATATTGATTCTCAAAAAAAGAATATTTCAAAAATAGCCAAAAAGTTATGTGTCACAAAAACATTTTAAAAGACAAATTTTCTCTTTTGTTTTTTCTAAACATTCATAATTTATAATAGAGGAATGTATTAGGACAAAGGGCAGTAAACTAACCATTGCTTTCAGATGACTCAGATCAATGCTCCCATGTTTATCTACTTCTATTGGCTGGATCTTCATCCCTGCCATTTGAGCACTTGCTGGGTTGGTACCATGAGCTGATTTAGGAATAAGGCAGACCTTTAGGAAGAAGAATATGTAAAATCAATAGACTGTCATGAACTGAATGCATGATAATTATTGTTCGGGGTGTAACCTTGTTAAATCTTGAAGCTGTCTGATTAATTCCAGCTTGATTATGTTATGGACTAAAACACATTGAAAATATTGATCTAAGCAGTAATATATTTCCCTTTAGGCCAAGTAAGAATGAGAACATGGCCGCTGGGAGTGGTTAAATCATGCTGACAGTTTTGCATTAATTATCAATCAAATAACAAGAATAATGAAAGGCAGGCAAAAAGGTTACAAACAATACTTCTTTTATGAGTTGTATTTCTTCACAAGGAAGCAATTTAAAAGCATATTAAAATCTCCAGCTTGAGAGCAAATATATTATCAGATACAAAAATCTCATGATTTCTTCCCTCAGTGATTAAAAACAAAGTCTTAATCACAATAGAAAACCCTTTAGATTGCCCTTCTGAGCATCAATTCAATGGCTTCACTTTGATTTTAACTTACCTTTTGCTTTAAGGTTGCTATAGTGAATATAGGTCTGCTCACATGATACAAGAGGCAGTATCTCATTAAGAACATCTTTGTTAACAGCAATGAGCCACTTAGGTACAGTGGTCAAAGCAACAGGCTAGAAACCGGTAAACAATAAGTTCTAGTTGTGCCTTAGACACAAAGCCAGCTGAGTGACCAGGGGCCACTCGCTTTCAGCCCTAGGAAGGAGGAGGCAAGGGTAAACCACATGAAGTGTTCAGTATTTCATATATAAACCCTTGCATGAGTGGAACACATAATATTGTGTCTCCTGATCCCCTCCTCCATTTGTTTCAGGAGGAAATGGAAAAGGTAAATGTGTTTGTTCAGTCTGACAAAAAGAAAAGAAAAAGAAAAACCGAGTGTACTTTCTGTGGAATTTTTGCAGAACAACTAGTGTATCTAAAGGAGGAAAAGGCTTTTAGAAGCATACAGAAAATAGTGCATAAAAGCTAGCAAAAGTAGGCAGATTATCTCACTTAGCAACCAGCAAACTGTGCAAATGACAAACAGCCCATAGAGCTTACATTGGACACAGCCAGGCTAATTAAGTCTGTTTCTACTGAAAAACAAGCTGCCATTCCAAAAATAATTAGCTACATAGGGGACAAGAAATCAAAAGTTAGATAAAAGTCTATTTTTTACTTACACTTCGCTGCCATTCTCCTTTTGCATTTAAATAAGCCTTGATTGCAGCTAGCCCAGCATATTCACCTTGAGCTCCACTGCAAAGAAACAAAGCTTTTTTAGGCGTCAATCAACATCCCGATTTAAAATTCTGTTAAACAAGTTTATTAATCTCCAAAATAAAAAAGTACTGGAATACATCATTCCATGCAGAGAAGGAAGATTAAACGATACCAAATACTAACACTTTTAAATTCATGTTGTAAACCAAGTTGCCAAAAGCAGATTAACATTCTTTCCCATCCCCCACCCCCAAGTCTTTTGCCACTACTGAATTAAAAGTCTATCTGCCCATCTTTGACTCAGCACAAATCAACAATGTGTGAGTCCCACAGGCGAGCCCGGCCTATCTCTATGGCATCTGTTCTGTGTCACTGCCAAATGGAGGTGTTCTGATTTGTGGATGTGTCATACATTTATAAACAAAGAGTCTGGAAGATGTGGGGTGATACACACTGAAAGGGACAACAACATAGCCAGAAAACTAATCAGGTCGTTCTCAGCTGTGAACTTTATCTCTTCTGGCTGGCTTCCAAGTTAAAAAAAAAAATAAAGAAATATATAGCAGGACAAATATAGCCCCAGAGAAGAAGGAGGCACTACCTGCTTTGATTATGAAATTAGCTAGTCCTTAGGCAGCCGGATGATACAAGCTCAAAGTATCTACTGGACTGCCATATCTTCCTAGGAGTGGTAGGCAAGTGATTGGAACTGAGAAATATGAGAAAATGGTAAACAAGGCACAAAAGTCTGGTGAGTATGTCTTTGTATCTTGGATACTGCAAGGAAGAAAAGCAGCTCAGACATTTTCCAAGCACGTATCCATTCAGAAATCAGATTGTTGCTACTGAAGTCCTAACCATTTAAGATAAAATATGTTATTCCATTTCCACTATCTAAACTCAACCAATTTGTACTTTACTGTAACTTTGATGGACATAAAATTATGTTTCAAGATTCTCTTGCCTAGAACCATTTTTCTATCCTCTTACCCATTCCATTAGTGACAAGTGTGGCTGACGTAGACTTCAATGTTAAAAATGTCTATTTCGCCATGTACACACATGGCCCAAGAATTATATTCCATTTATCATATGTAAATAGTGCAGATACACCAAAAATAGAGTTTTAAATCTGTACATATTGCAGTGGGTCAAACAAAATTGCTTCTACCTGTTAGGCTGGAATGAAATCTTGTCATAGCCTGTGATCTCACACAGATCCTTCTCAAGCTCCTTAAAAAGCTGCTGGTATCCTTGAGTTTGATCCAGGGGAACAAAAGGATGGATATTGGCAAATTCCTTCCATGTAATAGGCTACAAAACAGACATGGATGCACAGATGGGCACAGAGAAAGAGAAGGAAAAACCATATCTGTGTTAAAAATATAAATAAATAAATGATAGGAAGCACGTGAAATGCAACTCTAAGCTGGCCATAAAGTGTGGCTATTCATTGGAAAATCTGATAGAACACACTTTTTGGAGGTGATTGTCAACTGGAGTGCAGGAATTCTTTTTTAGAGAACAGATGGCAATCTACCCCAAAATCTTTTGAGTTTATTTAATGTTCACAAAAAATGGTTTAATAGTTATCTTAAATTTATTTCATAAAAATAATATATTAATTTAAAGAGCTTACTATAAGTTCTGATGAGCTATTCAGCTTCATTGTACAGGATCCCTAAAGAAAGGCAACATACCATCAGGATTTCATTCAAGAAAATTTAACAGCTATGATTCCCCACACCCTTTTCAATTCATACCTACCAAAGGAATCATGCTGTGAACAAGAGAAATATCTTTGTTCTCTAATCTTTTCATATACCGGACAATATTTGTTTCAGAGTGATAGCTGCAGACATAAAGAACTTATATTAACAACCAAAGTAATAATAAAAGGTGAACGCTATTTCTGCCCCCAAATCTTTTGTCAGATCAGTAATAAATTCTTCCTCCTTTTAATGTTCAGATTTGCTCTAAATTATAATTCGTTTTTCCAAGCTGACTGTCAATACATGTTGATGAAACTTTTGTATTTAAATGGACATACAGCTAAAAGGCATGTACCACAATACAGTCATAAGCATTTTGCTTTAATTGTGTGTTGCTTGCTATTAATTGGTCAAATTACACAATTTCCCTTCAAAAACTGTAACGTTAGTGCAAACAACAAAGTTTCCAACATGCAAACCTAGTAGCTTAATATTTTAACTTGTTTTTCTGGAATATCACATGTCTCATTCTCATCTCTACCAACCAGCATGAGCCAAAATATTCCAAAGAGTTTTACAAACCTGTTGAATACTTGGTGTGTTAGGAATTTTGATGTTCTTTTAAACAGAGTAGCAAAAATGCCTTTTGTTTCTTCATCCATGTTCTCTGCAACTAATTCCTTTCAAACATAAAAGAAACGGTCAATCTCTTTTCTCCTCTCAGAATTGAGTTTCAATCTACAAGTATACCTTCTAAAACAACTATCTTAGTCTGAAGTGCAACTGGAAACAGTTGCGCAAAATGAGATATTGGAAGATATTATATCTTTTTGATTTCAAAAGGGTAAAAATCACACGGGTTGTGAAAACTCAAAATTGTGTTGTTATGGATAATGTTAAAATTTGGGAGCAATAGAAAGTGCTTTATTGAACTTCTCTTCACACTCCTGAAAGTTAAAAGTTTTCCAATATTTTCTATGATATTGGTGAATGAATGAGAATCCAGGTATTACTATGGAAGTTATGAACTCAGGTATGCTCTATCTTAATTAATTATTTAGTTTTCTAATCAGTGATCTACTTACAGCTGAAGATTCACAGCCAAAAATCCATAGTAGGTCATCTAGGTCTTTTTCATTTACAGTTTCATCAAGAGAAACTCCAAGCTATTGATAGTTGGAAGAAAAAAAGGACACAACTTCTAAGTTCATAAATGCAAGTGTTTCAATATTTGAAATCAATGAGTACTCTGAAACAATAACTGGATATATAAACTGGATGATATTTATTGACACTCCCTATACACCATGCATAATATTCTAATAATTACTATGAACATCAACAATTTAAAAATGTGTCTGAATGTTCTTTCTTCTAACGCACATTCAATGGCTGTTTACTGAGCTTTCCTTCTGAAACAATGACTGAGTTTCTTAGAGCATTGATGATGTTACCTAGTTTGGTAATGAAACATCTGCAAGAAAACCACCATCCTCAGAGAGCACTAAGGACCTCAGAGTTTCTTAGAAAAATGTTTACTGGATAGTCTTTACCTCTTTATAATAATGATAATGAATAATGAATTAAGGCATTAGAACCACTTCTGAGTATCTTTAAGCTGTCACTTACTGTGCCATCAGGGTAAATCCGAAAGTTTATCTGTCTCTGGGCTGCTCTTTGCAAGACTTCTTCGATGCCACATCCACACTGGATTTTCAAGGTATCAAAATATAGGTCATGTTGGAGTTGATGACCTGCTCTCTTCAAACCTAATATAAGCAAACACAAACCCACTCAGGTTTTCTGCACAGTTGTATTCAAAATAATTTGACACTGAGTTCTAGTCCTGCCTTATACATAAAAGCCAGCTGGGTGGTGTTGGGCCAGTCTCTCAGCATAACTCACCTCAGGATTGTTGTTGTGGAGAAACTAAGAGGAGGAGGGAATATTTGGCATGTTCACTGCCTTGAGTTATTTATAAAAATAATAAAAGATGGTATATAAACAAATAAATTCGGCTGCGATCGGCAACTTTGCTGGACTATTAGTGACTGGCTCTTCATATTACTAGACTTGAATCACATTATTCTAAGTTATTTTACAAACCTGTTTTAGGAATCACTACACTTTACAGTGTAAACAAAAAAAAAGCTTGTAGGAAAAAAGGAGCTGTGGTGGCACAGTGGTTAGAATTGCAGACTAACTCTGAGTTGCAGGCTAACTCTGCCAACTGGCAGGAGTTCAATCCTGACCAGCTCAAGGTTGACTCAGCCTTCCATCCTTCTGAGGTTGGTGAAATGAGGACCCAGATTTTTGGGGACAATATGTTGATATTGCAAACACCTCAGAGAGTGTTTTAAGTCTAAGTGCTATTGGTATTGGTATTTACAGAGTAGCATTGAAAGTTTATTCAAATTCTCCAACATTAAAATTGCTCCTTTTGGACAGGGTTTTCCTATGTCTGAAGGTTCACTCACCTTCTGCTAAGATTAGAGTAGCATTGTGGACTCTCTTGGCAATGTACTTTAATCCATTTGCACCATGATAAACTCCAAACATTGCAGCCATGTTAGCCAAAAGGGCCTAAGAAGCAAAATTTGGGATTAAATAAATTTATGTGTATAAACCTGAGGCAACTCAGATACTACATCATCTAGACTTAGAATAACTTTAGTGTCACTTTAAATGAACACTAATCAGCATATATTAAAATGAAATTTCGTTGCATACAGCTCTCAAAGGGTGATCACCTCCAATATACACTACATAAACATGACAAAAATATAAATAAATAAACAGATAAATATGCATATACCCATATATTATAGGACACAAACAACCTAGTCTAGTTCAGATGTATAATCAATGATGGAAGAAAACCTTACCTGCGCCGTACAGATATTGCTCGTAGCTTTATCTCTCCTGATATGCTGTTCTCTGGTTTGCAGCGCAAGCCGGTATACTTCTTTGCCATTAGCATCTCTTGAAACATACACAAAGGGGAAATATATTACTTTCTTCAGTTTAAATAGACAAAGGCTAGTTGGTTTTGTGAACAAAAATGATTAATAATATTTTTTAGCAAAATGAATAATTTACAATATGAAACTCTCTAAATCAGTGGTCCCCAACCTTTTTTGTGCCGCGGCCCGGTACCGGCATCACAAAATCATCTGCGGCCTGGTACCGGCATCAGCACGCATGGCAAGGCAAGCTGAGCGACCGGCCAGCCAGCCATCCCCCGCTTCTCCCCGCCACCTTCAACTCCTCCTTTGTACCTGTGTCGATGGGCTTCGCGACGGCTTCGGGACGGTCGCTCGGCTCGCCTTGCCATGCGTGCTGAAAGAATCCTCGCGCCTTAGATTTGTTCGAAGCCTCCCCCCCCCTCGATGAAACTAAGGCGCAAGGATTCTTTCAGCACCCAAACACCGCTTTCTACCCGGAAAAGCTCACCAGAAGCACTTTTTCATCAAAACAAGATGGCGGCGCCCAGCAAACCGGCGGCCCGGTAGAAATTGTTCCACGGACTGGTACCGGTCCAGGGACCGGTGGTTGGGGACCCCTGCTCTAAATTATTCCTGAATCAAGGCAGTTTCCTTTTGCTATCACCTGATACAATACTACAGTCTGACAAATTGCATGTTTATGAAGCAAAGCACTGCAAAGAAGCTACTCAGCTGTGCCACCAAGACAATGCAAACCTCAATTCAAACAAAGGATTCCTTCCTAACTTGTTTTAGTACAATTACCAGATACGAGATACATAGATTGGAATTGCCGCTAGATGGCAGCAAAGAAATACAGAAAATCATGACTTTGTTGCCACCGTCAAGTGGTGTTCAGCCCAAATCTCGTGGTCCTTTTTCTTTTCTTTTGCACATTTTTGAGAACATGCCATCGACAAACAACAGTTGCCAGTCATAAAATATCGCATATATCAAAAAGCCAAAACAACTTGGGGTTAGAGTCCATTATATTAATGGCTTCAGAATTTAGTTGGAGTCCAAAGGCATTTCTGGAAACGTGAATTATGCCTGAAGCTGATGCTTTGCTTTCCATCAATTTAGTATCTCATTCAGGTTTTTAACTGAAGAGAGCTTAAGGAAAATTAAAATTAGGAAAGTCAGAATGGATGGTGAACCAAGGAACACGTCCACACATACACATACACATTGTTGTCCTGAGGAAACATGCTGGAGACTGAGGATCTACTATAAAAGATCCTTTAGAAAAGGACAATGAGCATTCTACATGTGATAAGTACATTCTGACCTTACCTAGAGTTCTGGAAACTTACAATACTGTGGATATTAAGAACATAAGACCTTTGCTGGATCAGGACACAGATCTGTCTAACCCAAGTGTCACACATTGGCTAACTGGGGGCATTTGGGAAACTAACAAGCCTGCATCGGACGGTGATGTCCTCTACACTTGTCTTTTTTCATCAACCCACATGTTGAAAAGAAGAGACCTATCAGTGTGCAGGAAGAGTCAGATGCAGAGAAACAAATGAGAATCCTTTGAGAAGATACCAAAGCCTTCCTGTGTGCAAAGGAAACCCTGAACTGGAAATTTCTGGGCTCCTGCTCACTATTTTTTCTCTCTGCAAGTGTTTTCCTATATCTGACTTAATTGTGGGGGTGAGGGGGAGAAATACAATGTTTTCATTTTTAACCTCAAACCAAAGAGATTCCTGAAAATATTTTATTATAGGTCCTTGAATTCTTTGTGCTTATAGCAACATTCTTTTTTTTAAGGGCACCTCTTCCATTTTTAGTTCAAGACAGATTCATTTTCCATTAGGATATTGAATTTAGTAGCTTTAGGAACAGTAAAGTGTACAATAGGCCAAAACACACAGCTGTAGCTGATTAGTTAGAGAGTCCTGACTCATGCGTGAGGCAATCTACGCTATGATTGATTGCTGTAAGTATAAAGGGGGGGGGGTCCCCTTCCCCCCCCACTTCTTTTTTCTTGTATGTGTCCTGTATAATTTACCTCACGAAGTTCCTGTGTTCCTGACTATCTTGTATTTTTTCTTTCTAGATGACGACAAACACTCATGTAAATTTTTATCTATATCTATATCTATATCTATATCTATATCTATATCTATATCTATCTATCTATCTATCTATCTATCTATCTATCTATCTATCTATCTATGGTGGGTATGGAAGTAAACTTGATATGAGCATGTATTTCAGTAGCATGATTTAGTTCTAGAAGATTAATTATAGGGGAATTAATCTTCTAGAACTGAAAGAAGTTCTTGATTTACGACCACAATTGGAAGACCTCGACTTACAACTTATGACCCCAATCAAGGCCAAATTTCTGTTGCTAAGCGAGACAGTTGTTAAGTGAGTTTTGTCCTGTTTTTACAACCTTTTTTGTCAACAGTTTTTAAGTGGATCAGGGCAGTTATTAAGTTAGTATCCTGGTCATAAAGTGAATCTGGCTTCCCCATTGACTTTGCTTCTCAGAAGGTCACCAAAGGTGATCACAGGAGCCCAGATGACACCGCGACGGTCATTAAATATGAGCCAGTTGCCAGGCATCTGTATTTTGATCCCGTGACCATGAGGATACGGCAATGACCGTAGGCATGAAAAATGGTCATACATCGCTTTTTTCAGTACCCTTTGAACGGTCACTAAATGAACTATTGCAAATCGAGGACTACCTGTATGATTTAAGATCAGCCAAAGATATAAAGAAAAAAAACAACTCCATGCTCTCTGGAAAGAAGAAAATACATAAGAAGAGTACAACTTTCCACAATCCATGTATAATCCCTTCATGAGTTAGAAGAAGATGGATTCAGATTTTCAACAGAAAGTGAACCTACCTTGTAACTCCCACCATCCTTCCGGGCATCATTCGCACCAGATTCTCTTTGACCGCAAAAAAGGCAGCATGTGGTCCTCCATACCCAAGAGGCACCCCAAACCTCTGGGAATTGCCTAAAGCAACATCAACGCCAAACTCCCCTGGAGGCCTCAAGATGCAGAGGGCAAGGAGATCGGTGGCACAGCAGGCCAGGCTCTGATACAAAAGAAGCCAATATGTTGGTTGGTTGGTTGGTTTATTACATTTTGTATGCCACCCATCTCTCCACCAAGTGACTTTAGGCAGCTTACAATGTTATAAATCACAGAATAAAACAATTATAGGATTAAAACCTTCGACGTTAAAAGCTGACAATTTAAAATTAAGATTAAAATATGATAAAAACCAATGCATCGACGGGGTGGAGGTGAGATCTTGTACTAGTCTACTAGACACCTTCAAAGTGAGAGGCCCCCATCAGGGCTCCAAGCTTCCCAAAAGGCAATATTGATCAGGGGTCCTCAACCCCTGGACCATGGCTCACTGGAACCAAGCTGTGGAAGTGGCAGGCGAGCAGGTGCACATGCGTGCAACTCTCTCCCCCACACTGCCAGTCCGCAAAGCTGGAAAAGTTGGGGACTGCTGTTGTAGATAGATTCCCAGAACAATGTATATTGATTATAATGGCCAACACATGACTGCTAAAAATGAATAGTTATTTTTCCAGCACCATCGTAACTTCGAACAATTCCTACACAAGGTAATTGTTAAGTGAGGACTACCTACACAGGTAAGTTACTTATATCATGATCAAATGGAGATTGGGAGTTTTGGGGTGGTACAGAAATGCTATGAGTCCAAAATCTTACTAGATTGGAAAAGCAGACATTGACCTAAGGTACTTTTACACTGCCAGACATAAACATGGAGGTTGGAAATATTCTTATTGCTTCATTTACCCCATTCTGATGGGCTTGTTCAACCAAGCCTGTGAAGTCTTCTACCTTCCCCTCAGTGTCTGGGTACTGGAACAAGACACCACTGATATCTTTACCGCTGAAATCCATCTCATGAGGTAGCTTCAACTCTACGTTTATGCCAGTGTATCTGGAAAGCAAGAACGACATACCAAGACAAAGTTATTTCCTTGTAGTGAATACAATTTAAAAAAGAAAAAGAAACATAAGCTAGAATATTAAATGCAGAGTTAAAGGCCAGCTTGATTGCCTTCAACTGAAATTGATTCAAGTAAAGCAATAGGCATGTTTCATATTTAGTCAAGCTTATTGAGCCAGACTACATTACGAAAGAATTTCAAGCAGATTGCCCATTTAATTTTTTTAAAAGATCTAAATCAGTCTTTACTTTGCTCTGGTCTGCACCACAGCTATCGTCTGAGGATGGCATCTGATGTCGACATAAAACTTATTTCGCTTATTATGCCTGTTGGAAGGAGAAAACAATAAAATTACTTCAGATATGGGTCATAAAAAGTTCACTCTGGTAAGTTTCCACTGCTTGTTATTATACAGACAAAAACCTTGTTTTTAATTGGCTTTGACATCTCCTGATCTAAAATTCAAATTTCTATTCCCAGGAACATTGGGAAAGAAAACAAGCCCACAATCTACCAAAGTCTACAAAAGGGAAATGACTACGAAGTAAGTCATGAGTTTTTCATGAATTCTGAGTGGATTACAGAAATTGCTGGCTCTAACAGGGGTGATGAACTGTGTTAACCAAACAGCATATTCTGTTCCTGTATCTCTGAACAACAGATTTTGGGAATGGAGGGAACCCAGGAAAAAATATATGGCTTCCCACAAATTATCAATGGCTGCAAATATTACACCTTCCTTTGGTGTTTCTATCTCATTATCATTTATATCAGGGCTATCCAAGCTTGTCAACTTTAAGATCTGTGGACTTCAACTCCCAGAATTCCTTAGCCATGGAGAATTCATGGGACTTGAAGTCCACAGGTCTTAACGTTGACAAGGTTGGACACACCTGATTTAGAATATAGGCCTATGGGTTGTTTTCAGTCTCTTCCATATAATGAAGTATTCAAGGGTATCTGCAGATTGTGATGAAAAACTCAAGATGGCAGTCACAATGCTGTGATCAAAACTTCACCTCCTTTTATGTGCATCTTGACTTTTGTTTTTTGACAACATTGTGCCTTGTGGACAATCTTGCCCACAACACTAAAGTTCTGAGGAACTTTACATTCTCCAAAAGCAGTCTAACAATCTGAGGTTGTTACCTGTGACACAACTGCATGGCTTCTGCTGCCGCTGTTCCTTCATCCAGCAAAGAGGCATTAGCCACATCCATCCTGGTGAGATCACACACCATTGTCTGGTAGTTCAACAAGCTCTCCAGCCTGCCCTGGGAGACTTCTGGCTGATAAGGGGTATATTGAGTCACCCTATTAAAAGCAACACATTTTCCCCATTAAACTTTTCCCCATGAAAAGAATACTATAGTACCATACAGATAGTCCTTGGCTTATGACCATAACTGACTTCAAAATGTCCATTGTGAAGCAAGGCAGTTGTTGGGTGAGTTTTGCCCCATATTACAACCTTTCTTGCCACTGTTGTTAAGTGACATTTGGGTACTAATTGGAGTACTAATTCAGCATCTTTATTGTTATTGAGATTGTAGTGATTTCATGTTAAAACATATTAAATTAAAAAAAACATTGAAAACATTGTAGAGAAGCACTGTGCATAAAACATAGTAGGTAATACGGTTGCATGTAGTACTGTATCTGTTAGGAACATTGTAAACCTTACATGAGATTGTACATTAGCTGTGGAGGACCAGGGATGGACACTGCTCCTTTAAGATATTCTTCACAGGAAGTATATGCATGCCCTAAAATGAATCAAATCATGTTCCCCATTGAACCTGCACCGTCCTAGTTAAGATGGACTTAAGCTAACTATCCGAGATCTGAGGGTAAAAATCAACTCTCCTAATGACACCTCAATTTAAATATGTGGAACTATGTCTTAACAATTTTCCCATGAAATATTATTGCACAGACCACTATTATTTATTGCAGAACTGACAAAAATTGTGTGGTGTAAGTAAATTAAACAAAGCACATGAAAAATAAACACTACATAAGCAATAATTACTGGGTTTTTAGGGTAAACTGGGTTTTTAGGGTTAAGTCTAGACTGGCTTCTCGAGTCCCTCAAGAAGCCAAGCATATTTTCAATTCTCTGCCCATTCATTTATGTTCATGTCACATCACTTACTAAATTAGCTCAGTTTCTAGGGCAACACAGTCTGAAGTCATTCAGAAACCCAGGCACAACTAGGTTGTTCAGTCTAACACAGCCCCATAACATTATGCCACTAACAATTGATTGTAGGTTATTGAGCCAAGCTATTTTTGTTTGTAGAATAAGCTTTCCCTGTGCTTTTCATTGTATATAAATAAATTAATTAATTAATAAAAACAGCTCGGAATAACTTAAACAACACGTATAACCTTGTGTTTTTTTAACAACACAACTGTAATAATGTGGTATTATGAGAGGAAATCTATCCTCATTAAGAAAAACAACATCACAAACAGCCAATGGCTGTCCTTTGTTACTTTTCTTCTAAGTATAATTATTTCACGCTGCTGAGCTCCATGTGAATTTTATTGACCAGCAACCAAAACAGAACACCTTCCTGAACAGGGGTGTCAAACTTAAGGCCCAGGGGCTGGATCAGGTCCACGGGGTGCTTAGATAGGGCCCATGGGCCTGCCCTGGAAACAGCAAAGGACCGGCCCACGGTGCTTCTGTCAACAAACACCTTTAAAAACAAAAGCTGAATGAACTTGTTTTGAAAATTGTAATGGCATCTGACCTCAGGGCCAATCGTAATGAAAATTAGAAATGCTTTGTAGATCCTAATATTTGGAGTAATCCCAATTTGAGAAACAATTACTAGAATAAAGCTAATAACAGAGAACAGAATGCCCCTACAAATAGGATATCTGATGTAACTCTTCTGTATATCTTCTCAAAACAAAATACGCTTATTTTGCTTAACACCATGTCCTTTACGGTCAGGTCTGTAATTGAAGATTGCAATAAAGGAATCAATCATCAAAAGCTGATTAAAATCTCTAACCGGCTTAGAGTTGTATTAGTGCCTCCCTCTCCCTATTATGCTTGGCAAAAAGAAGGAGGCTTGTGTGGAAGAGTTGCGCCTTTGTTTGTCTGAAATTGTCCATGAGTTTCTGAGCCTGGGCAGAGGCTCCTTTGTCACTTAATAGTAGTGTACAGGAACTTCCACACCGTCAATGTTTTTATATACCAAACTCTCTTAGCACCTTCTCCCAAGAAGCTCAATATTGCCACGGCTGCTGCCAGCTGACTAACTGGAGCATGCAAACACTGACATTCCAGTCTGCCCAACGGCTCCCCTTCTCCACAGGCCTTGCTGCTTTTGTTTTGTGGCAAGAAAAAAAATGTGGCCGAGGGGCATTCCCACAAGGGGAATGGCGCCTTGTCTTCAAGAAGGAGGGAGACAGACAGGAGGTGGGGCGAGCCGACTCAGTATCTACGATGGCTGCTTTTGAGGGGCTGGAAAGAATTACGGAACATACCACAACAGGCTCTCTTCCCAGGCAGAGGAGAGGTAGGCCACAGGCAGATCGCCCTTCTGGTCTGGGAAACAAACCATACACAGGTCGTTCTCGAGTTACAACTAGAATTGAGCTCCAAATTTATGTTGCTAAGTGAGATGGTTATTAAGTGAGTTTTGCCCCATTTTACAACACTGCTGGCCACAGTTGTTAAGTGAATCACTGCAGTTGACACGATTGTTAAGTGAATCTGGCTTTCCCATTGTCTTTGCTTGTCAGAAGGTGCATCTGGATTTTGATCCCATGACCGCGGGGATAGTGCAATGGTTGTAAGTGTGAAAAATGGTCACAAATCGCTTTTTTCAGTGCCATTGTAACTTCGAATGGTCACTAAATGAACGGTTGTAAGTCAAGGACTACTTGTCCTCTAAACTTCATTGCAGTTTTAGTGATGTGCAGCCCTCGCACTAGACTCCATAGGAAGCGGTACAACAAGCATTTTCATGTCTCGGTATTTGTAATTTTTATACTCTACGCTTATCAAGAAAAGATCTTTATGTGCTGTGGGAACTTCCAACACTGCCATGCACACATAAATACGCTGGGAGATAACAGCAAGATTCTTATACCACGTATAATTTTTATATAAATGAATCAATGTATTAAAAGGATTACTTATGTAACTTCTGGTTTTGCATAAAAGCTAGGAAAATAGCAAACATAAAGATAGTTGTTTTTTTTAAAATAGTTGTCTTTTCTCTCACGACCTCTTTTGAACCAGCATAAATAGAACTGTGGTATTCAAACGTTCTCTAGCATGTTGACATAGACAATGCAATCTCTCTCCCTCCCCGCCTCTCTCTATATTTAATAATAAAAATGGTACATTACCATCCAGCGTTCTCCAACAAATTCCTTGCAATGGCTGGAGGGACGGAGCAGTTGTAATAACCCATGCCAATATAAGATCTCCAGATTTTATTCTTGCTGGCAATACTGTGTAAAGTTTCAAGAATTTCATTTTCGCCTAGAAAGAGATGGGTAGAAAATATCGTGTGAAGATTTTAACAAAAGTTAAACATGTCAAGCCTTTTGCACCAGTTAGCCTATTTCAATGAGAATATACATGAAAGTGGTCAGCAACATGAGTTGACTCCCTGTTACTTCATTTCAACGGTCTGCTTACTTTGCCCGTTTCTCATATTGAAATTTATAGAAATGGGTGATCATTCACAATTATTATAACTTACACAGAACTTTTCAGTTACATTTCTTCTTTATGAGGAGTAATGTAACCAAATGGTTTTCAAGAGCTTTTTGAGGTCAAAAGTGTACTTAAAATATTTAACTACATTTTTAAAGGAGCTATATTTATTTCATCTGCATTCTCACATAAATCGCATAGTTTCCTTGCACCAATAAAAAGCAAACCAACTATTTTATCTCACTTGAGATGTTTAAGCAAGTTCTTTCATTTCACACTGCTTCTTTATGTCTATTTGACATAAATCACGTCTGTGTAACGCCCTTTCCTCCTATTTTCCCTCACAGCAAGAATCCTGGGTGGCACATTAGGGTAAGAGTACAAAGTCACCTCGTAAACTGTGCTGGTTGAACTAGAATTTAACTACCCCCAATAACACAGCTTGTTATGTCAAAAACTTAACAGGTCTTTCAGCACGTCCCCCACATTTACAAAAACTGTGATTTGGAGAAAAATGCTTTATTGATTTAATTTTACTTAATTGTTAAACTGATTTTATTTCCTTGATTTCATGTGGGGCAGTCATTAAGGAATAGATGAAACACAATAAAAGTAAAATTTTAGGATGCTATACATGTAGTCTCAAGCTTCTGAATCAATAAATCAATAAATTAAATGTATACTCATCCATAGGTAACCTTAACACATAGCCCCATTCACTATGGATTCTATCATGAAATCTTTCTTTGTGTGGATTTGGACATCTTGTGAGCTGAAAGCAAATCAATCACATTACAACAGCATCATGCTGAACCAATGTGTGGAGTCCGTGGGCTAACTTTTGTTAAACTACACAGAAAAGGTTATTAAAAATGTAATGCGCTGCTATCAGTCTGAGGACAACTCCATATATTTTGTTGGGGAGCTTAGATTTCCCATGGATTCTGCCCTTGAAAATATACAGAGAAAAAAATCAGTCACCTGTGAAAAGCATATTGGTAGCCTTTCCAATGAAGATCAAATATCTTTGAAGCCTAATCCCTAATAAAAAGTTTCAGTTGCCATAATTCCAGTAATATCCTTGTGCTGCTTAAAGTAAAAGAAATATAAAATTATACAGATCTACACTGAATGCACTGAAGAAATCCCCCAGCACGTGGTTGAATATCACTAGGCTTAGCAGTCATGAACAGCTGCAAGTTATCTTGAAACAAATGATAATTTTAAAAAAAACTATATGGTGACAGGGTACAATTGCAGAATTAATACCCCAAATACAAATTCTGGAAGCGCTTGCAAGTTAATCAGTGTCTATTCTACCAAAGATTGTGAACATCAATATCAAATCTTTTTTCTACCTTTATAGTAAATGATAAAAAAAAAATCTTGGATGATAAAACTGCTGTACAGAAATAAAAGAAGATATGTTGGATAATACTGCTTCTCCTGAAAGAATTACAGGAACTGTTAATTTACAACTATTAATAAATAATAGCTGAAATGAAACTATAGTTCTCAGGATTCTAATTGTTAGAGTATCTGAATAAGAACTTGGCAAATTTCATCAGATTGCAATGGCAAAATAGGTTTGAGGGGGGAAAAGCAGTGAATACATAGGTTATACACAGAACACATCTGTTGGTGGTGTAAATCTGCAGATCCAGCAAATTTTAAGTTGGGGTTTCTAGCAATTTGGCTTTAAGCGGTTCCATATAACTTTTCATTGTAGCAGCAGTTAGTTTCTTCTGCACAATAGCAACATGCATTATCTGATCTGGTCACTCTGCCAATAGATAGAAGGTCCTAACTATTTTTTATTAATTATTGGAAACCTTCCAGATGATTTGCTATTAGTTTGGCTGTTGTTGCTTTGTCTTTTCCAAAGCAGCCAAGCATCTGGACTATTTTTACTATGGTTTCAAATACATCAAAGATGGGTTGCAATTAACAGACTGAATCCTTACATGGAGCCAACATTCTAGGATGAAAGGGGACAGGAGTTGCTTTTGACTTTGCACAAAGCCCTCCTATGGATATTCCCCCATCCCTGCTCTTGATCAGTTTTTGATATATTTTAATGTCAGATTCATCTCTGGTCTTTTCCAAACAGAAGTGCTAAACTATGGTTGCCTTTGATTTAGAACCAGTTCACTTCAGTTGTATCCGACATAGAATTCAAATGCTCATGCCTTCCCTCTTTCTTCTTGACCCTCATTTAAATTACTTACAAAACAGGCATGGCTTGCTGTTTAAATGTTCATGTTCAAATACATGTTTGCCACACTGTCCATAGCTCTTTTGCTACATCTTCTATTTTTGATATGATGAACTGGTCATTTATAAACCATTTTACTATTGAGTTAAGCTGCTTATTCTTTTGTCTCCATTCTTGGCTATTTGTTGGGATTTATGACTAATGGCTTCAAAGTGATCATCTTTGGAGCAGACCATCTTGATCAATCTAAGTTATTTGCTGTGATAATTTGTATTTCTTTCTAAGCTGGTTGCCATTTTCCTCTATGAGCCTTTCTAAGACATCATTCTTTTTCTCCTTGAACCAGGTCATCGACCATAACAGCAGCATCTCTGAGCCCTTAATGCCTACTTATGCCTGCATACTGTTAGGAGAATTAAAGGAACTGTCCTCTACAAACATGACTTGAATTCAGCAAAAAAAAAAAAAAAAAACCCATGCCACAATACTTAGATTTATATAAACAGTATAAATGAGAAGATCTGATGAGATATGAAGCTTGATATGAATCATCGCTAGTAATGGCATGATCTTTATTTTAACCCTTAAAACTATTTCTGGCCATCATTATTCCCAGGGTATCTGCAGTGTCTGTGCAAAGTTAAGATGGTGGCTGTGATGTTATGATCAAAGTTCCTCATGTTTTTTTCAAATGTTGTCACACTTGTGCAACCAACATGAAAAACCACCAGGATTTTGATTTCCCTGTCATAATGCCATCTGCTGTCATCTTGATATTTTTCATCACATCCTGTGGATATCCCAGACTATTCCAATACACGTTTAGAGGTAAGTAGGAGTGCTTATGTTGCCCAAATGGTACAATTTATGCATAAGAAACCTGTAGTAGTCAATGATGGAAAAAAATAGGTTAATATAACGCTGAGGAAATGGGAAACCCTATACTCATTTAATTTAAAGACAGGCCCTTCCTTTGTATACAGTCCAAAGGGAATCCTATCAAACTGTGATGGGGGATGTGGAAGGAACAGGTTAGCCCTGGGAAAAAATAAATAAACTAATAGAAACATTCCAGACTTTAAATTCTTGGAAGTGAGATCTTCCTCATACAGGCAGTAAATAATCTAGGTGGTCATTTTACCAAGCATGTCAGGATTTATTTTTCTTGAATGGCAGGATCCATCTAGCTTATCAATAACCTGCCACCAACACAAATTTCAAGGATTAAACTACATTACTACAAGAAGAAATCCAGATAGTTCAAAGACTGCACCTGTTTTGTGACAGATGTGGCAGATAACTTTTTATAAAAAGTGAGCAAAACATTGATTTAAATATGATAATGGAGGCCAAATTTCAGAAAAACGTCTTTCCAAAACATGACACAGACAGGAATAGCTGCGTGGAGATGTGAAATAGGCTATATAATGGGAACTATGTAAATAATGGAGTTTGGTATATTGATCAAAGTATAAGCCCCCACCAATGCATCATTAAATCTATTATGGAAGATGATTTGTATGTTGATACGCTTGCATTTGGAATCTTTATCGTAAGTGTTTTCTTGTGGTAGTCAGTTTGGGCTCTCCTGTAGCTTTTTGAACTACTGGACTCACATTAATAATACATTAATTCCATACCAATATTACAACACAGCTATTGCCTAATGATTTATATCTTAAGATAACAATTATGCAACTAATCAGTTCCTTCTACTTTTGAGCTAATAAGTTAATATAATTTTGTACCTCCAGAGTTTTGTGCTTTAGGACTCATCAACTTTAGTCATCTCAGCCAATAGCAGATGACTGGTCATTTGGGGTCAAAAAGCATACCATCTTATATACCCAATTAACATTCTTTTTTTTTTTTGGCAGGGAGGGTTATTATATTTTAACTTTTTGTTTCAAAAGAAAGAGGTTCATTGAATCCTGAGGTACATTGATGTAGTAAGATCAGTTCCAGATAATGTTTGGATTGAGCTTGAACTCCAGATGAGTATTAAACAATGTTTTAAAGAAACAATTTTTGCCAGAAAAAAGGTAGCCTAGACTAAAGTACAAAACATTTACAATCCTTTTGTAAGCAGTATTTATCATATCATAGAACAGATATTGGCCTTCGATTATACATCAACCTGGAGGAAGCTGTAAACAATATACTGAACCGAGAACTTGAAATCCAAGAAGGCAGTAAACACTTTTAAGAAGGCTTTGGCAATAAGCCACTTGACTCAGCCCACTTCTCCTAATTTTCTAGGGAAGCAGTTATGATGAAACATACTACAGCAAGTCACCTTTGTTGGAACTAGTTAGCTAATCATTCAGGAACTTCAGCTGGCGATTCCTTTTGCTAAATACATGCCTGTTCTGACCTTGCTTATTTTTCCTAGCAGAAGGAATTGCATAACAGGATGATAGGCAATAATCTTAGTGTCCAAGAACAAAGTTCATTGATCTTTTGGCACCATTATATCAGAATTAGAAGTCAGAGGGAGAAAAAAATGAATACTGCACATTCAGTCCAATATTAACTTTTAGGTTCAGAAACAAGGTGTTAGTTTTCCCTGGAAAGATGCCCTCTTTCTCGTAAGAGCTTAGGTAGTTTT